TTTGGGGCCCTCTTAAATTTGAGCTTAATCAATTAGAGAGTAATTTTGAGTTTAACAAAATTAGATATTGATCTGAACTCTTAAAATTTGGACCCAAAAAATTTAAATCATTTCTAAAATACAATAAATAAATAAATAAAAAAGGCCCACTCTATTGAAGGGTAAATTTTTGGGGACCCTCTAAAATTTGGGTTTAACCAAGTAGAGAGTAATTTTGGACCTAATAAAATTAAATATTGATTGAAACTCTTAAAATTTAGGCCATAAAAATTTGGATCATATTTAAAATACAAAAAATAAAATAAAATTTAGACCTAATATACTAAAAATGTTTTGAGGGCCTTTAAAAATACATTTGTCTTTTTGACTACAAGTTTAGACCTCACCTTCAAGGAAGTTTCCCTGTATATATGTTCATATTGCCACAAGCTTAGACCTAAACTTTTTTTAATTTTTGCCGCTCTTTCTGGGTAATTCTCATGACAAGGTTTAGTACAGAGATTGAGACCTCTATGGCTTATTAAATTTCAATGAAATTGCTCCTCACCCGCAAAGTTTAAGTCCAATGATGAAGGTGAGACTATTATTAAACAGCCGTGAAAGGTGGATTAGACTATATTTTGAACTCATTAAAATTAAACTTATATCAATTAATTTTGTATCGGATTAACATGTCTTGTCAAAAATTATCAATCCTTGTTAATAGTAACTGTGCGAGCTTTCTCCCATCTATGTTAGTATGTCATGGTGTGAATAGTGTTTTCACAAGTCCGCTACATTCAACTTATGGGTTAATATGTCCAAGTTGAAGGTTTTCAAGTCCAAAAGACAAAATCCTTCAACAAGTTTAAACTATTTTTATTTATAAAAAGAATTTTACCCACACAGATATCTCTCACAACATCTAGCCAAAATTATGGAGTTGTTGAATTTCTTCCAATATATCTACCTCGTCGATTTCACTCTTTAATTACAAACAACATCGATCATTTGCGTATCTTGTTTTCTTAGGCACACCATCACTTGAGAAAATATTCATTGTAATGGTTATACCATGTTAACATTGCTACGTGGTGTTATCGTCTAATGGTAAGCTAATATGAGGGCAAAGTAAACACCATTCCTTTAAGTAACTACTCCTTTAGGTAAAAAAGTAAGAACCCCTTATAAAAAAAATGGTGTTAAGCAATTTACCCTCCTCTTTGGCCTAAGGTTGGCAATTGAAATGGAAGCCCAACACCTTATCACTCATAATGATTCCCAGCTAATAGTCAACCAAGTGAAGGGTGAGTTTGAGGCAAAAAGAGCCAGAATGCAAGAGTACCTTGCTATGATGCGAATCTTGCTTGCTAAGTTTCACAACTTTCAGATCTATCACATCCCGAGGGAGGACAACATGGCCGCAGATGCACTCACCAAACTCGCCTCATCCTCGGAAGCCCCACCAAGACCAGCATTCATTGGTCACCAATTCGAGCCAAGCAGGCTAGACGTGGAAGCCACAAATGTCAACTTTGCGTCTGTCGAATCAAACTGGATGGCCTCGATAAGGACATACCTCCAAGAGGGCATGTTGTCAGATGACCCCCTGGAAGCTAGGAAACTCAAGATGAGAGTCTCCAAGTTTACCATCTTACAAGACGCCTTGTATAAAAAAAGCTACTCTTTGCCATTACTGTGGTGTCTTTTACTAGAAGAAACTCACTATGCCCTACGGGAGATCTACGAAGGGGTTTATGAGAATCACTCTGGAGGACATTCCCTCGCCCACAAGGTACTTAGAAAGGACTACTTTTGGCCTAGCATGGTGAGGGATGCCCAAAATTCACCAAGAAGTGCGACAAGTATCAGTGTTTCACCATTATGCCCAGGCAGCCACCAGAGGAGCTGACAATCATTACGAGTCTGTGGCTGAAAATCGTCACGAGTCTGTGGCCTTTTTCCAAATGGGGTATCAATATCCTAGGCCCCTTACCCCTAAGCAGAGGACAGTGTAAGTTTGTAGTGGTCGCCGTCGACTACTTTACAAAGTGGGTAGAGGCTGAACCCTGACAAAGATAACAGATGCGAAGGTTAAAGACTTTATCTGAAAAAACCTAATCTGCCGCTTCGGGATACCCCACACTATTGTCAATGACAACGCTAAGCAATTCGACAACAAGCTCCTCAACTCATTCTGCTCCGACCTTCAGATAAAGCAGCCTCATTCCAGCTTAGCGCACTCGCATGCAAACAGATAAGCAGAAGTCATGGTGAGAACAGTATTACGTAACCTAAAGACAAGGCTTGAAAGAGTGATGGGTCTTTGAGTTGATGAACTCCCAAGTGTATTATGGGCCTACCGAACCACGCCAAGAACTCTAGCTGAAGAAACCCCATTCTCCCTCACTTTTGGAATTGAGGCGGTCATCTCTATGGAGATCGAGGTACATTCTTTAAAGGTCCAACACCACGACTCTATTACAACGAGGAAGGACTCCGCATGAACCTCGACTTGGTAGAGGAGGGAAAAGAGATGACTGTGGTCTACAACACAGAGTACAAGCGCCCCATGGTGAAATACTATAACTTGAGGGTGAAACCTCGTTCCTTCCAATCAGGAGACTTGGTCCTTAAGAAGGTAATTCTTGCCATAAAGGATTCGCGAGAAGGAAAGCTGGGACCAAATTGAGAAGAACCCTATCTCATAACAAAAATGGTGAAACCAGATACATACAAGATCTAGAATTCCAAGAGGAAGGTCTTACCCCATCATTGGAACGCTGAGCATTTGAAGAGCATCGTCAGGTCCTCCATCATCATCATCAGACGCCTCAGATGGCAGGAAGCCTGAAACATCAATATCAGGGAAAACAACATAAATCTTTCCTCGGAGATCCTCATAACCATCAATAAAGGTATCTGCAAGGCCATTCTCCAAATCACTCTCAGTTATGACAACCCTCTTCTCAGCCCGAGAAACTCTCTCCTGAGCTGCATTCACCTCTGTCTCTACTATCAAGCAGGTAGTCTCTTTGAGCATGGCCCTCTCGCAGGTCTCTATAAGCTTAGCTTTTCTCAATGCATCCCTTTTGCGGGTCTTTACAAGCTCAGCCTCTCTAAGTGTGACCCTCTCATGGGTCGCCAAAAGCTTGGTCTCAAGCTTAGTCGCCTTCTCACGGATCTCCACAAGCTCAGCCTCTCTAAGCGCGACCCTCTCATTGGTCGCCACAAGCTCGACAATCCTCCCTTGAGCAGCGAGAAGCTCTTTTTTTACAGCCTCATGACTAAGTTTCAGCTGGTTGTAAAAATGGGCCATTGAAAACAAGTATATAGATGCAGTTGAAGCCTGAAAAAGACAAAAGACAGAGGAATGACAAAACACATAGGGAAGGATTAGAGAAAGGGAAACAGTAGACCCTTACCTGAGTCAAGCCTTCCAGAAATGTGTTGATAATTCCCTCAGTGCTTAGAGCACTAATCTCATTAACGTCGGACGAAAACCCAAATCTCCCAAGTCGTTCCCTAATGACTTGCTGGTTACCCAACATGGGGCTAGTCTGAATTGGTGCCCTTGTAGAAGTTTCCACAGGAGGAGTCGACGAACAGCGGGTAGAAGGTTTAGTCGACAGGGGAGTCTCTTGAGTAGAACTCACAATCGAAGGAGTCGCCAACCGAGGAGGCACCACTGGAGGGGTCCTTTGAGGGGAGCCCACCTAAAACGCTAGTAGAGGGGTCCATTGAGGGGAACTCCCCTCAGGTGACACCACTGAGGAGGTCTTTTGGGAGACATCGCTCATCCTCGCCACCTTAGGAGGAAGAGTGCTCCTACTAGAGAGGCGGGACCTATTCACGTTCTATCCACTGCAAAGGAAATAAAATGTTATCTAGATGAAAACCACCAAGTAAATGGGGAAAGTACAAGAAAATCAACATACCATTTCTCTTCAAAGAGGAACCGCTGGATCTCGGAGAGAGTCCACCAGCCCTAGCATCTATTGAAGGGGAATCACTGACTCCACCATCTTTGAGCATGAGAGCTCCAAAGTCTTTTACTGGATGAGCCCTTACAGCTTGCAACTTCCACTCCTGGTCCTTCGAGAGCACAGAGAATCCATAAGGAATATAATAAGCACACAACCTATAATGAATGTGATGAGAGAAGGTAAGTATATAAGGCGTACCAACTTTCTTAGGAGCACCCCATCCTGTTGGTACTAAAGCCTTATTAGCGTCCGAAGCCCACTCTCCGCCAATGAACATGAAACGAGACTTCTAACTATGACAGTTGGAGGGTAATTCGGTAATCAACTTGCCCCCCTCTTGTAATAAAATAGTACCAGCCTCAGTGAGGAGTAGAAGTCTCACTCAGATTATAAGCTGCATAAAGCTCGTCAGGGGAGACATCCTCATGGTGCACCTTCCTCCACAATGCCAGAAAACCCAGCATAACTCTCCAACCATTGGAGGCCAACTGCCCTGGTGCCAATGAAAAATAATGTAGAACATGACAAATAAAAGAAGGTATCAGGAATCTAAGCCCGACCATAAGCATCTTCTCATAAAAGACAATGTCACCAGATGAGTTATCACAAGCAAGCTCACCCATCTCAACTCGACTGCACAATACTGTTGGAGGAATGTTATAAGTAGAAACAACCAGTAGAATATCACCATCAGTATTAATTATGCTAGAAATGGTACTTACTTTGGATCCATCGTTGTTGAGAGCTACCTTTCCTCAGTGTTTTTTGTTGCGAGGGCGTGAAGAGTTGCCTGAGCCACTGCCATGGAGGCCTTGAGGAATCTAACTTTGAGGAATACCACCTGAAGGAGCCAGATCATCTGCCACATTTCTAGAGTTGTCACCACCAAAAGTACCCATGGCTAACTGAGTCTCGCCCAATGGTAGAGAAGCCTTAGCAGTTTGATCCGCTTGCTTGGACATCCCTGCCTCTTGCCTAGCTTGCTCACCCAATTGGGGTCGCCACAGCCTGGGTGCCTAAATCCCTCTCATCTGCTCACCCACCGGCGCGACAAGCATGCTCGTCGATCCTTGCATGCCCAGTAGCCTCTGCACGCCTATTTGCACGAGCCTGCTCACCAAAATTGCTTGGATCGACGCCTAGGATTAGGTGAATAGTTGTTGCTTCCCTTGCGCGGATAGTGTGCTCGCCTAAACTGCCCAGATCGGTGCCCCCCGCGTCCTCTACACACGCGCCCAGCGCCTTGATCGACATAACATTGCTACCCGCATGGGCTGTTAACCCTTCCTCTAATCTCGCAAAGGTCCTTACTCAAATAGCAAGCATGCCCGCCTCTCTAGCACAAATAGCCAGCTCGCTCGTCTTTTCTATCGCGCGCACAGCGCGCCTACCTGCGACCAAACCAGTGCGCCCAATAGCCCCTACGCATTCACCCAGATTGTACTTGATCTACTCGCCTAAGCTGTCCAAATCAGTGCCTAGATGGGCGCCCAACGCCTCCTCCTCGTGTGCCACAGACGCGCGCCCAATAGCAGTTCCCAGCGGCGCCTCCCTTCTCTCCGTCTCCACCTCCACTCTGGTGCCCAGCGCCTCCTCTTCTTCGGGGATAACACCAATCTCTCCCGGGCTCTTTATTAAGATCTACAAACTCTTCTCCAGTTGACATTGATCGAAGTGCTCAAACTCAAAAATTCTCACCTATGTGTTCTTGGAAGATTTCAAGAAGAGCTCTATCTCCCTCTCTCAAAATATATATGGAATGGGTGAAATGAATGAGGAGTTTTCTATTTATAGCCCAGGATTTTTTAAAATCCTATTAAGGAAAAGAAAAAGTAAAAACCCCCAATTTATAACCTAGGGCTCTTTAAGAATCCAAAAAGGGAAGTGAAAGAAGGAGTTTATATAGCTTATGATGTCCCACGAGCAAAAAGAGTCTACAGAAATTAAGGGAGTCGCCAATCGAAAGGAGTCTTCAAGAAATTCGAGTTCAAGAAGGCTTGATCGCTATTTTGATCGTAATTTTTGCTCCAAAACACCAAAAGAGACTTATTATATATCAAATTGAAGTTCTTGACGAGCTCTACAAGACTCATAACCTTTGACTATGTCAGATGCTGTTAAAAGTCCAAAAAAGGCCCAGAAGCAGATGTTTTGGCCTCCTGAAGTTTTTCTAGTTGTGCGTTCAGCCAAAAATTCAAATTCATTCGAATGCCCTCCTCTCCTAGTTCTATTGGACACACGGCATTGTGAACAAATGATGGGTCAAGGGCCCAACCCACATAATAAGCCCAGTTTGAATTAATAGCCTAACTCCAAGAGATCTGGCAAGTTCAACCCAAAGTGGTTCATGCTCGGTAATACTAATCAGGTTCGAGGAGCTACATCAACAAGGGAGCATGCAGGGTCATCTAAGAGCCTCATCCACACCGCTTTGAAAGGAGTGAACTCCCACGTCATCCCTTAATCGAATTCTAGGGAGAGCACCGTAACTGCCTCGCCCATTGAGAAGAGGTCGCTAGCTCCACCAGATTAGCCATTTAGTTACTATTAAGTCACTCCAATCTATTAGGAGGCGACTATAAATTGTAAGCCCCGTCAACACTTGAGGGACATCACACTCAGTCGAGCACAACACTCTCCCATCTCTCTCGGCTTGTAACTCTCTGTTGTCGCTATTCACTTGAAGTAATAAAATACTCCGACGACCCTATCCATTCAAAGTGGATGTAGGTCACGTTGACCGAACTACTATAAACCTTGTATTGCTTTTGTTTTCATCTCTTACTTCTTAATTACTGCATTTATTACTACTTATTTGACAGGTGGTGTACAAACTCAATTTGTACATCATCAACAATCTCTTTCTCTCTCAAAAACCCACTTGGGTTAAACTCTCAACCTTATTCAAACTTGTCACTAACGAGTAAATATTGGGTGTAACAATTACACAATATTAACATTGTCACGTGGTTTAACAGCCCAATGGTAATTCAACAATTACGCAAAATGGAATCCACTCCTTCAAATAACTAACCCTGCATATAAGATGAGTAATATTATGTTTATTAAATTTCTTACTAAATTTTTCATCCCAAGTGATACGGCACAATCCCGTCATTGAATATTAATGGGACCTATTTATTTAATGATAAAAATTGTGCCATTAGAAAAAATATAGTAAGAAATCTTAGTCAGTATAACATTAGTAATGTAAAATAGTAAACGTCACATATAAAAAAAGTGGGGCTTACTTGTTTACTCGTTTGTTTATTATTAGATGGTTACACCACATTATAATGTATTATGAGACTTGTTGTTCTTTGAGTAATTATAAGATTTTATTGATAAGAAAAGGTAATATAAACATAAAATCATCACAATCCTTAATAGAGACAACTAATTATAGATAGAGCTGTCAAAATTCGATACGACACGATTAATCGATATGAATCGACATGAATTAAACGGGTTTGTGTGAGATCTTAACGAGTTTGAGTGATAAATGGGTTGACACGCCAAACACGTTTAATAAACGGGTCGTGTTCGGGTGAGATCTGTCAAATCATTTATCACCGTTTAAATAAAATTAATATAATAATAAATTAATAATTATTTAAAAAATTAACAAGAAAAATGAAGTAAAAAAATCAATAAAAAAAAGAAAGTAAAGTAGTAGTTCAAAGACAAAGGAGAAGAGTTAGGGAGCACTTCAAAGGCAAAGGCAAACAAATGTCTTTTGTTTTTATCCCACATTGAAAAATGAGGGGAGATGAGGAGGGTTAAGTTGCCTATAAAAGACAATGACCTCTTGCTTTTATTTTTAAAGCCTTCAAGTCTTATTTTTCAAAGACAAAGGAGAGGAGTTGTAGAGCACTTGAAAGACAAAGATAAAACAATATCTTTTGTTTTTGTCCCATATTGGAAAATGAGGGGAGATGGGGAGGGTGAGTTGCCTATAAAAGGTAATAGCCTCTTATTTTTTTTTTAAAGCCCTTCAAATCTTACTTTTATGAGATTTGATTTAAAATTTCTCTTTTTTGAAGTAAGTGCAATTCGTAATAAAAAAAATGGAGTATTAAAATTTGTTGATATAATTTTTTTAAAATTAAACGGGTTAAACGAGTTGTGTCGTGTTACCTGTTTATTAAACGTATCGTGTTCGTGTTGAGATTTTTTACCCGTTTATTAAACGTGTCGTGGATGGATTTATACGTTTTTCACTCGTCACTCGTTTAACCTGACACGTAACTGTTTAATCCGACACGATTGACACCCCTAATTAAAGAGAAGAGCTGGGTAGTGAATACATTAGAAAGCCATAAACTCAACAACCCACCCTTGCCATGACCTGGGGATTGATAAAGTTGGTGAAACCACACCGAAAACAATAATAGCCCATGGAAAACCCATGACTAGTTAAAACATGGACGAGCCAACGTGGCAAGCTCTGCACAATGTGCATTTACAGGTCCGTCAATGGATCAGATTTTGATATGAATTTGATTAGAATTACTTGGAATAAACGTAAGTGAAAAGGGATACTCAAATTAAGAGTAGAGCCCCGTATATATATCCAAAAATAATACAGAGTGATTTAAACATCCTTGTAGTTTAGGCAAATATAAAAATCTTAGTAAGGGTAAAAAAGAGAAAAGAAATCCTAATAAACCTAGACTATCTATACTCCAACACTCCCCCTCAAGCTAGGCGCAAAAATGTCAACTAAGCCAAGCTTGAAAACAGAGTCCCGAAGAATAGACAGAGTGACAGGTTTGGTAAAAACATCCGCAACTTGATCACTGGTCCCCATAAACGATGGAGTAACAAGACCACTGCTGACCTTCTCCCGAAGAAAGTGAACATCGATCTCTATATGCTTCGTTCTCTCATGTAGTACAGAGTCAGAAGTGAGCTGAATAGCAGATTGATTATCACAATATAATGTGGATGGAGAGGTCACTGAAAAACCCAACTCGTCAAGAATCGATCGTAGCCAGATAATCTCACATGTGCCAAGTGCCAATGCCCGATACTCTGCCTCTGCGGACGAGCGGGAGACAACTGCCTGCTTCTTGCTCTTCCAAGAGATAAGATGAGTCCCTCGAAAAGCACAGAAACCCGTAGTAGATCGACCATCACATGCTCCCCCATAATCTGAATCTGAATAACAGGCTAGAGAACCGGTCTGAGATCCTGATGCATAAAACAACCCAAGTCCAGGACAAGACTTGAGGTACCGAAGAATATGATAAACTGCATCAAGATGAGGCTGACATGGCCTATGCATGAACTGACTAACTCGGCTGACTGCGAATGAAATGTCCGGCCTAGTATTGGCTAAGTAGATAAGTCTACCTACCAATCTTTGATAAACTGTCGGATCTTTCAACTCCTCACCTTCAGCAGTAAGCTTCAGGTTTGGAATCATAGGTGATGATGCCGGTTTGCACCCCAACATCCCAGTGTCTGAAAGAAGATCCAAAACATACTTTCTCTGAGAAAGAACAATACCTCTGCTTCTACGGGCAACCTCAATCCCAAGAAAGTATCGCAGAAATCCAAGATCCTTCACATCGAAGGCCTTCCCAAGGTCTATCTTGACCTGCGCAGTCCCAGAAACATCATCACCAGTAATAATAATATCATCAACATATACCAGAAGGATGACACACTGTCCAGAAGTATTCCGTCGAATAAAGCAGGTATGATCAGAATGACACCTGGTGAACCCCAATCGTATGACTACATCACTGAAGCGAGAGAACCAGGCTCGTGGCGACTGTTTCAGTCCATAAAGAGACTTACGCAGTCGACATACCTTTCCAGCATACTCCCCCTCACCACGAAAGCCCGGTGGTGCATCCATATAAATAATCTCGTCCAGATCACCGTGAAGAAACGCATTCTTCACATCTAATTGATGAAGAGGCCAAGAGTACTCCGCAGCCAGAGAAATAATTAACCGAACAGTAGTCAATTTTGCCACGGGGGCAAATGTAGCACCAAAATCACGACCTGGTACCTGAGTAAAGCCCTTCGCCACAAGTCTAGCCTTGTAACGATCAATAGTACCATCCGCAAGAAACTTCAGGGTGTAAACCCAGCGACAGCCAACAGGCTTCACCCCTGAAGGTAAGGAGACAAGATCCCATGTATGATTACGCTGAAGAGCGTCCATCTCTGTCTGCATGGCAAGAACCCACTGGGGCTCCCGCATAGCTTCCGAAATAGAGCGAGGAACCAGCGTATCTGATAAGGCCATAGTATAAGCTCGAAATGTGGGAGACAGATTACCATAAGAAACATAAGCAGAGATCGGATATAAAATCTTGGCGGTCCAACCATATCGATCAACTGGACGGCGATCACGCCTTGGATAACGACGCCCTAAATCACCATCCTCTACTGATAATATCTTATCAGGTAAAGTAACTGGCTCAGCACCTGTAATCTCATCAGTACTAACAACAGGTGCATCAATATGCTCAACAAACTGAGAAGTATTACCTGCATCGCCTGAGGTAGAGGGGATATCAGCAGGGTGATGAGAGCGAGGACAACGAGCATACACCTGCAAAGGAAGAGAGACTGGTAACTCTGTACTGACAGGGATGAGTGACTCCTTTGGAGGAAAAACGGATGACCCTGTAGGGATAGTGATCAATG